CAAGGGTGGAACTAAACTGAGAAATACCGGCTCCGTTTTGTGTTTCGTGCTGCCAATTTTGGTTACATTTACACTTGCTCATATTTTCCAGACAAAAAGTTAATGGTCCGCTATCGGGCTGGAACCAATAATGGCGAGCCGTTTTTTTGTTTTTTTTTTTATTTAAAAAAAATATATATGTCAATTTTAACGTTTTATTTAGATTACAAAAATAAATCGTAATAAAAATAATCCTATTTATGATGTTTTAAAAATTAAGACCTAAGAAAGACTGATTTAAGACATTTTAATACCAATTAAGGCCTTAGTTTTATTTTGAAGAATTTAATGCCTTTTAATACTTTTTAAGGAGCCGCTGGAACTTTGGTTTTGTATAAGTTATGAGCATGCTGAAGTACGCTGAAACACGATGAAACACGCTGGAACACGTCGACATACGGCAAGTACATCGAGAAATTTTGATGCTGAAAATTCCTCTACAAATGGCAATGAATACCATACATGGGCCATACGTTACAGGTAAGTTATCTGATGGTTGTCATACCTTAAGTGTAAGTTACTCCTAAGTCGTGGCGTCTAGCTTATCCAAAACCTATGAGAAACGTATGCATAACTTATCAAGAATTATGCTGCCGTGCTTTATGCAGAAGTTAGGCTGTCATTGGACATATGCTCTAGACTCGTTTTGAATACGCCATGTATAGGCTCAAAATTGAAAAAATACATCGAAAGTTCAGCGTATGCCAGCGTTTTGGGAGATTCTGGGATATTATTACGTTTTTTTTTTTTACATTAAAAAGCCCCAAAGTGACCAAAGTTTGCACAGTGGAGAACAGAGCAATGCAGCCGCTCTCCCACCTGGTGCTGCCTTCTCAACTCTTTTACTTCTCTCTTGCTTACTTAAATCTGGCACACTTGGAATTTTTTCCTTTTTCAAAGACAAAAATGAAAAAGGAGACGCGTATAAAGTAAAGAAGTAGGACTCTATACTGTAATTAAAGCCGGGCCGTTTTAAAACTACAACTGGTTGTCTTTTTAAGGTGTCTGATGAGTCATCTTTATATCTCAGATTTAGAGTTACCATCTATAATCTCTAAGGATTATTCGTTATTTATTATTCTTCATAATGATTTGATCTGAAATATTCATGCAAATCAGCAACATAAAAAGAATAAAGACGGTCGAAGATTTAAGCCATGAAAGTCAGTCATCAGAGCTAGAAAACTATAAAAGATTTATCTCTAAAATATTCTCCTTTTTTCCAAGTTTTTAAAATTAATTTGGTTTTCATTGTGTTTAATTTTGTATTAATTTAATTTTTAATTAAGTGTTTGTTACTGGGACATTCAATTTGTATTAATTAAACCTTTTACTCACATGTCTTCAGGTGTCCAGTGTAGCAGTACTTTCACCTTGCCAGTCCCCTCTTTCCTCTTGGCTAGGACCTAACAAACACAGAAAAGTTGGTTCATAAAAATGTATTACTTAGCTTTTGCTCCATTTGTTGGTAAACAAAACATTTTATATAGATTTACCAAAACAAGATCACTTGACTTTCACATAAGAATTTAACCATATGTTTTAATGAGTAAAAAGGAGGAGCCATACATGTATATTAGATAAATTGAAGAAGACACCGAAAAACTTATCAATAAGATGCGGAAAAGTCGAAGATCAAGTGTGAAAAAACAGAAAACATACGAATACCGATAGGATAAGACACGAGTATTGCTCAAAGTACGATAGAAAAGTTGGTATTCAGTGAGGAAAAACCTACAGCTGCAAATGCTTCAGATTTCTCTGCTAAGTTGATGGAGTTCAAGGTTTTACTAAAACAGAATTAGTGACATCGCTATTCTAAGTCTTTTAGCTAAAGGGACTGAAAAGTTCCCAGCTGACAGCGTACAGAAAATGCATTTAATCTGCCGATCGCACTCTGTGCAAAAAGTCTTTTAAGGCTCAAAAACTGTTAAGTAAACACTATCAGGAGGATAATTAATATCTGCCATATATAATGTAACTGGAGAACGGCTGTAGGGTTTTTAAATGGTCATAACACATGATTTTTGGCTATTCAAGCCACTTTGCGATATTTTCAATCGTTGCACGCAGCTACAGCTCCCACTGTACAACGAAACTGCAGGGTTTTAAAATTCAGAGCTCACGATGTATGTTTTCACACTGCGCGACCTGACGCTCTGATGCGATCTACCTGCTCACACTGCACGTCTAAAAACCACGTCGTCGGACTCAGCTCCGCAATAAGATGGCGCTACTCGTACTCGTCTATCTAGAAGCCAAACCAGTAGAAGGGGGAAGTTCTCTAGAGTAAAACGCGCTGCCTTGGCAATTTGTGCAATTCTGTGCTGAGAGTCCTAATAAGAAAAGGCGACAACATATTTGGACAAAGACATGGCTGAGCAAAAGTGGCTACTACGGTTTGTCAGTTTTACAGAAAGAACTCCATTTTAGTTCACTTCTGTGTTTTTTGTCTAAGAAGAAGGAGAATCCTTCTTTGCGCACTGAACAATTTGCTCACGATGGTTGATTAATCAAGCATGTTCTATTTTCCCCTGATGTTACGATTCCTAATCGGGAGGTGGTCTGAGAGGCTGATCGCCCCATGTAACCCCCTGTACGCTACACAACGCACGATCAGGCTGAAAGTCGGCCCGATCGAAAAATTCTCGCACGACTGGAAAATCAGCCCAAAAACGGCAAAAAAAAATTTGCCTAGTATGATAGCCCCACCTAACCTGACTCCGTCAGATGGATTTGCTCCGCATATCCATCTGGAAACCTTCGGTTGAAGTAATTTTGGGAAGGGCCGAAAATACTGGTTAGCTGATTGGCCTATGTTGGTGAAAGAGGGGCCAAATAAACCAATCAGATCAACGAAGCATATGACGTACTAACAGAGCGAAGACGAAAACACAACCATAA